AAGCAGCTGTCTGGTCAAACCTGAGGTTATTTGGTATCAACATAAACCATGATAGTAATCAGTTATGTTTTGCCCAGTGAGTGAAACAGGGAGATTGTGATGCAATCTGACAGAACATGATAGATTTTTATAGTGTCAAAGCACCTTGCTAAAAGCATTTCTTAATTCCAAAGGGAAATAGAATAACTTTCAGTGGAGAAGCCAGGTAGATATCACCTTAATTGAGAGATTAAAGTTAACACCCCCAGCAATGGGATGAATTGAAGTTAGAAGTCACCTGGTAGGAAAGGAGGGGGAGAGCACATAGCATCACAGCCTTAAAGGCATGTGACCTGAGCCAAATCGTGAGGAGACACCAGAGGAACTCAACTGGAAGGGGCTCTGAAACATCAGGAGCCTGGAACCCTCACGGGAGTCAAAGGAAGGTTGAAGAGCCACCCCAGACTAAAAGAGGCTCAGAGACACCGCTATTTCGCAGTACACGGTTCCAAAGTTGGCCCCATTGCTGTCAAGGGTATTTATTGGGTCAGCTGTCAAAACTGGATGGATGACATATGGGAATGCCTTGCTACTCATTTCTGGATTTAGATCCTGTAGTGTGGTCATGGAAAATGTCTTTGTTAGTAGGAAATCAAAAAACCAAACTCACTGCCATCAAGTCAATTCTGACTCATAGTGACTCCCACTGGGTTTCTGAGGGTGTAAATCTTTATGGAAGTAGATTGCCCCATCTTCCTCCCGCAGAGCAGCTGGTAGGTTTGAACTGCTGACCTGGTTAGCATCCAGATGCCTTATCCACTATGCTACCAGAGTTCCTTAGTAGGAAATATACTCTAAAATATTCAGGGGTGCAGGACATTGGCTGACCAACTCACCCTCAGATGGCTCAAGAAAAAATTACTCATACTGTACTCCCAACTTTTCTCAGATTTTTTCAAAATTAAAAAAATAAAAGACCCAAAAAAGAAGTTTTCCTTGTTTCAGCTGGAGGCAGCCCTCCTTTCTCTGCTGCTCAGCACCCCTAGCACCCCACATGGGGCCTCACAGACCAAGCACCCTCCTGCTTCCCTCAGGAGTTCTTCACATACACCTAATGTGTATTCTTGGTATACCAGGAGCTTCATGAGAGCTGAGACTAGGCTGTTCTCCCGTCACTCCTCCCCTGCCTGGCAGCAAGGGCTGGAGATTATCCCTGGAGGAAGGGAAAGAGAGAAGTGAGGTGTGCCAGACCCTGTAGGACCTGGAGATGAGCAGTGCCACCCTGTCTTAAGGACTCACAGCCAGTGGAAGCACCAACCACACCCAGTGCCAGGGTCCTTCTTGAGGTAAACTGATCATGTTTCATGCACTAAATGTCTCCAGCTCATGAGTTGGTATTAAAACAGCACATGGAGAGTGCAAGGCAAGCAATGCACACCCAGCATTAAGGGAGCCCAGGCCAGCACAGCCTAGCCTAGGGGTAGAGAGGAAAGTCAAAGGAGGTTCCTGCAGGAACCCTGCAAGAACTCCTATAGGAAGAAGCAGGTTGAAAGGAAGGGAGAGTCCTCCAGCAAAAGCCTAGCATGAGAGAGGCATGGACAGAAGGGCAAATAGTAGAGGATGGGGACAGGCTGGTGTGTCTGGCACAAAGAGGGAGGAGTTGAGTCTGAAGGTATGGATGGGGCACACTCAGCAGCCTAGAACCCCAAACTTGCTCTGTGCCCAGTGCCCCTTAGCTAGGCATGATCCACTAAGAACAGGCTTTCCAGAATATTCAAGAGGACGAAGCCAACCAGGGTGGGGTGGGACAGGCTGGGCAGTCATGCCCAGAAGGTTCAACCACAGCTGGAAGGCCAGGGCCATCTGCCACATCAGCATTGCAGGGTCTTGCCACCAAAGACACTTCAGGGTCAGCGATGAGGCCACAACTAATTAGTTTAATTAAACCCAAGGTGGTTTCAAGGTATTTTTGGATTGAAAAAAAAAAAAAAGTATCCTGCCAGCTCCCAGAGGGCATGGGCGATGGGTGACTTGGTGCCCTCTGTGAATTCCTCATACTATCCAGCTCTGTACACAGTAAGTGCTCTGTACACAGCAAGTGCACTTTGCATTTTGTTCCCTGAAGGCTAGTAACCCAGCTGAGATAAATTCACAGTGGTAGGGCCGCATCAAAAGCTTTCTGTCCTCACAATAGGATGTAACCATGAGACGCCAGGGGCATTGTGGAAGGAGGACCTTAGAGCTGCCCAGGCACCACACACTGGACACCACGACATGCAGGGGTGGGAGACAGAGGGGTGCAGCGTGTGCCTGCAGAAGGACTTCACCAGCTCAGAAGCCGAGCAGCCAGATTCCCCACAGCAGCTCCCTGTCCCAACTGACATGGGGATGGGCTCCCACCCCCATACAACCACAGGGATGGGCTCCCCACCTCATCTGATCACAGGGACAGGCTCCCCACCCCAGCTGACCATCCAAACAGTGAGGAAGAACCTCCCCTCCTCTCCCTACATCTCACAAAAAGCCAAGACTCAGGCCAGGAGCATCATCAGAAAACCAGCAAGTGAGCTTTGGAAAGCCCTCTGAAATTAATTTATTTGAATGGTCTTGGGAGACAGAGAGTGAAGCACATGTTTTCATTTTGCTCCATGTTTGTGGCACAGGGGGCACATCCTCCCAAGGTCCTGCCTCTCATGAGCAGCACAGGTAAGAATGGGCAGCTTCAAGTTCCTCGTTATCACACCACCCTGGACTAAGACCACCTCTTCCCACCCCACCTCCTAGGAAATATAAGCTTCCCCCTTAGCAAAAGAGCAGCCACACAGAGGGCCTGCCAGACCCCCTCCCAGCCCTGCACAGCCATATGGGATAAAAAAAGTGGCTCCTTTCATTGTCAACACACAGATGGTCCTGTCAGCTAACCAATGCAACAAGGTTCACAGAGCACCTGCAGCAGCCTGGGCAGCAGGGGGGCACCCAGACCTCAGTGTGGCCAGTCTCACCCTCCATATGACTCAGGCAAGCAGGGAGAAGGACCTGGCACAGCCTCAGGCACAAAGGGCAAAAGGCACCAGGGTCCAGATGATGACGTGAAAATTACTAGCATTTATCAAGTACTTCCCACTTCAAATCCTAACAACATGGCGGTGAGGTGCCTACTGCTTCAGTTTCCATGATATACATGGGGAAACTGAGGCCTTGAAGGTGCTAGAAAGAGGCAGAGCCAGGATTCCATCAAAGCATGTGGCCACACAAACACACAGACGCCATCGTGGTTCTCCCTAGCGACCATTCTCCCTAGAAGCTCCCTCCACCCTGGGACTGTATGGGTTTCAGGGCTGCTGCCCAGCCTCTGCCCCACCCCCACTCTGCTGCCCAAACCACAGCTGGGAAGGGGCAGCTCTAGGACTAGTGGCTTCACCAGGCAAGGCCAAGCCTCCCCAGCCTCCTCCCCTAGCCTCCCCCATTGCCCTAGTTTCCTTACCAATCAGCCCAGAAACCCTGCCCAGAGAAAGCAGGCCTGTGCAGCCCCCAGATCACAGCCATATGCCCAGCTCTCCTCTCCCCACAGTTTCCCCAGCCATAAAATGGGAAGAGTACTTCCCATACCAGTGGCTGTGAGGGACAGGGGAGAGGACAGGATCCATGAAACCACCCTGCACTGGGCAACACGTGGTGGCAAGTGAGCATGAGAAATGAGCAAACCCACAGTACTGCCCTCCCCAGGGCATCCCAAGCAGTGCCTCCCTCACTGGAGTGCCCAGGCTGGGTCATTACTCATCTGACAGCGGGCCCCTTCCCCTGCCAGGGTCCTCCTTTATGAGCTGCTGCCACTCCACCCCCCATTTCTAACTCTTCAGAAAAAGGGCAAAGGCCCCAAGGCCCCAGTCCTTCAGAGGGGCAAAGGCCACGCAGCCCAGCCTGGAAATGATGGAGCAGTGACTCACTAGCCCCTCCCTCCCCTGGCGCAGAGTTTTCCGATGTCACCCTCTTGAATGGCTGTTGTCCACGCGGAACCACCAAAAGCAGCCAAGGAAGGGCTTGGGGCTGGTGGGTGGTCGCCCACGGACGTGCTGGTGAGACACGGCTGGCCCCCGAGACCCTGTGCATCCCTGGCCCCTTCAAAGCATGCGCGGGTGAGGGTTCTGCGACCCCAGGGGCGAAACGGGAACGCCGATTAGCTTAAGTCTCCGCCAAGTTCCCTTTAAGGGGCCAAGAAAAGCAGCTCCGGCCGGCCAGGCGGACATTTTCCTGCCCAGCGGCCACACGCGCCTCTGCCGCGACAAAGGCCACACTTGAGGGCCTGACGGGAAGGGGGGGTTCAGGGAAGAAATGAGGGGACTCCGAGTTCCTGCCAAGTTGTGCGCCCCTGGTGACCCTAGGACAGAGTGCACCCCCGCCCGTGGCCAAGAGGAGCCAGTGGCCTGAGAGGGGGTGCGCCGCGGGCACACCCGCTCCCCACTGGGCTCCAAGGACACCCGCTTGCCGCCCGGACCGCCCCGTTGTGCCTTCTCGTCCTCCATGGAGTCCAGCCACCAGGTGCGAAGCCGAAGGACGCAACCTCGGCACGACTACCCAGCGTGGTGGGCCTGGGGGCGCGGGAGACGCACCAGAGGGCCCCAGAGCCCAGGCTCGGGAGGAGGTGGCCGTGCTGAGCACCCAGCCTAGGTTCGAGACCCTCTTTTCCACCCCAGGGAGCACAGACAGAGATCAGCGCTCCACCAGCAGTGCCTGCGGGCAGCAAAGGCGCGCCCCAGGCTTGGAGGACTTTGGCGAACTTTGTGCCCCCGGGGAGCGCCCCTCAGAGGAGCCGACTCTGACCTGGAAAGCGACCCCTCTCTCTGCTCCCCCTCCCGCCACCCAACGCCTTCGCGGAACCTCGGCTAGTGTCCCGGGGCCGCCCGCGGCTGCGACCTCTGCGTCCCTGCTAGCGCAACCATTGGCGCGAACGCCCGAGGACCTGGCCAAAGAGAACCCGCGGCTCCGCTGCCCCTGACCTCCCGTCGTGCCTGGGTCCTCACCTGGGACATCTGCGGCCGGAAGTTGATGTCCTTGAGGTCGATAGAGCCGGGGGACAGGTTGTGCAGCAGCTGGCATAGCAGGACACCGTCGCGCAGCGCCTGCGCCAGGTCGAAGACCACAGCCGAGGGCCACACGACCCTGTGGTTTGGCGGCAGGACCTTGCAGTCGATGAGCCAGCGGCCGCACTGCCGCCACTGCTCCATGGCGCCCGGTGGCG